TCCTTTGGTTTTCATAAGCAGTTCTGTTGCGGTGGACAGGGCTACTGGTCCCATGTGCTGCAGGTGAGGAAACTGAGGCTCGGAGAGGTTACGTTTGAGTTAAGGTTAAGCCGAAAGTACCCCTGAGCCAGGATGCAGACATCTCAGTGGGAAATGGCTGGCCCCAGACTCCAGACCCTCCATTCTCCTATGCTCCTTAACTGTCATCTGACCCAGTGTGATTGGCGTCCACAGCCCAGTGTGGACGGCAACCATGCCAGGCCTGGCTGGCCTGCCCAGCCGAGCCAAGCCCCACCCACCTGCCCCCAGCAAGAAGCCCAGGTCCAGGCACGCATGCCCGCGTGGACCTCACATTCCTGCCGGGCCTGCAGAGGCTGGTGGACCCCAGGCAGGCCCCACACCTCCTAAGCTGACCCCCCAAGGAACAAGCCCCGCCCACGGCCCCTCCCAGGGCCCTCCTCCTTTGCCTTTGACCCTGGAACAATGGATGGCATGGGAAGGGTTGGGAGGGAGGGCCAGACAATTCTGCACCATTTGGGTATCACTCACCAGGCCACGTCCAAAGCAGGGACATGCAGGGGACCCACACCCGAGGCGCCCCAGGCCCTCTCTCTGTGGAGGACTGAGAGGTCGCAGCCCCGCGGGCACAAGGTCCACATGCCAGCCGCACTGCCAGCCGCCCCGGGACAGGCCATCGAAGCTCCCTGGGCCTCGCTCGGTCTCCTTAGCCCACGGTGGTGACTCCCACAGAGAGTTCTGAACAAGGACTCCCCGCTGGGTAGCTTAGCTCCTTTGGGAACATCTGGCAAGGTCTAGAAACTTCTTTGGTCCCTGCAGTAGGGAGGCAGAGTGAGGAGAGTGAAGACCAGGGCACTGCCAGTCCCGGCAGACAATCGCCCATCCGTGATGTCACCAGGGCCTCGGAGGAGGACGTGCAGGGGGCCTGGAGCGTTCCCTGACAGACTGGTCGTTACTGTGTGTCGGGAAGGAGAGAGGTCGTGGGGCAGAGGTGGCTGTGGGGGAGGGGTGCCAGGAGGCAAAGCTCGGGTCGGCTGCCCGTCTCTGTTCTTCAGGCGTCAGATGTCCAGCACGCATTCTGGGCTATGGACTCTGGTCATGGGGTCCTGCTCCCCCCATCCCCCGCCCTCACAGATGTCTGGTTCAGTCAGCCAGACCAAGCAGGGGACTCCTACTCACTCCCAAACGCCCATCAACGAGGAGGAATGCAGGGCTTGAGGGGATGGCCGGGCTCAGGTGGTGGAGCATCTGCCTAGCAAGTGCAAGGCCCTGAGCTCAAATCCCAGGACAGCTAAATATTTTTATTTTTTAAGATGAACAGGCAAATTGTATTCTGCTCAGGCTGTGGGAGATTATACAGCAATCACAAGGCACTCTCCTGCATGGGGAACTTGGCGTATAAATAAATAAAATTATTATGTTTTGAAAAGCCAAGTAAGAGTGTAAAGCCCTGAATTCAAATCCCAGTTACCCTACCCCCCACCTAACAAAAGACCCTGCTGAGGTACAGCAAGCCAGGCCCAGTGTGGTCAGGTGGTGATGGCTGAGCAGATGGGAACTGAGGAGTTCCAGGTTGAAGGGACACAGTCCATGGACGTGAAAAGCCTCAGGGCCAGAGCCCAGTGTGCCCCCAGAGGGGGCAGCAGCCTGCACAGGGCAGGGGGGGCCTTGCCTGAGCATCTGAGTGTGTGTACAGGCCTGGGGGGGGCGGGGAAGGGGGAGGGGCACCCCCCCCCCCCTGCGGCTCATTGCCTTGTGACCTGGTGCCTTTCTTTGGTGTCCCCATCCAGGACAGAGAATGCCTCTCTCTCCATTGACTGGGGCTCTGTGTTGAGGGCCGGGGGGGGGGGGGGGGGGTAATGGAGGGGGGAGCTGCGGTCACCCTGGGAGCTTCCTGTCATCCTGGTCCCTCCCAAACATCAGCTGCGCCCTTGAAGAAGAGAATCAGCCTCTCAGTGTCTCCCCGTGTCTGGCCTCCCTCCCTCCCCCTCCTCCCTCCCCCCCCTCCCCAGGGGAGGAGGGAAGTGTGGCGGTCGTCACAGGCTTCCTTCCATTCCTGACCACTGGCCAAGCCAGAAAGCCTGGTCCCCTGGCACGGGGCCGGGATGGGGCTTAGGTCTGGCGCCTCCCTGGGCTGGGCGCCCACCCCAAAATCTGGTTTTCTTTGGGAATGGGGAGGAACGTCAAGCATGGCGGCCGGGTTGTTTCCCAGGCCCCTGGTCTTCCTGTGGGGTTGGCCTTGTCACTTTCCTTTGCTCCCACCAAGCGAAGGGACAGAATTAGCTGGGCACTGTCACTCCCTGAGCCCTCCAGGCAGCCAACCCAGCCCAGAGAGGGACCAGAACTCAGCCTCCTGGGAATCTACCCAAGGCCTGTTCCCCTGGTTCCTCTGGGAAAAGATCCAGGAAAAGATTGAAAGCTCCTGGCCTGGGGGGAAGGATGGGGGTGGGACCAGGCCGTGTCCTGCCAATAGGAGAAGCCCCCAGGGTGGTGGGAAACGGAGAGGTCTCACCGCAGCCAAGATGACACTTTGTGCTCCCCAGGCCCCACGAGGGCCATGGGGCTGTTCCCCAGGGAGCCTGGATGCATTCCTGGCCCACAGGCCAAGTCCAATGTCATGGAAAGCCCAGGCGTCCAGCTGGCAGGGCTGAGCGTGAGCAGAGCAGGCGCAGTGGACGCTGGCCTTGCCCGCACAGAGCCCCGGGTTCCATCCCCAGCAAGATCACAGCTCGTGGCTTCTCGGAGAGGGTCAGACACAGCAGAGCGGTCCTCCTCAGCCCCCCCCCCCCCCTCCTCACCGAGAGGTGCCAACCCCACGGTGCTGGTGACAGATCCCGTGACAGACAGGTTCCTGCTCTGGGGACACAGCCACATTGTCCAGGCACACCAGGGCTGTGCAGATGCTCCTGGAGGAAACTTTGGGAGTAAGGTCTCCTGCTTTGGTGACTCATTCCTCGGGGACTAAAAGGAAGGTGACAAGCGGGTCCTGGTGACGTCCCTCGTCACTGTCTGGCGCTGTAAGGCAGGGCCTTGCCCGGCAGGCAAAGCAGAGCTCAGATTCTGGACCTGGACCTGGTCTGGCTTGGAGGCTGCATCCGCTTCCCTGAGCTCATCGGAAAGGAAGCTTTGGGGTAAGGGCAGGCAGCTGGCCCTTCAGAGCCCTCCCTGACATCACGATCCTGTTCCCCAAAGCCACCATGTCCCTGCCATCTCGTATCTGCTTTTCTCCATAATGCTATACAGTCCTCCTATATCCCGCTGGTGGGCTTGCTGGATCATGTGGGCAGTGCTGGCCAATCAGGGGAGAGCAAAAATGACATCATTTGTTGCCAGGCAGTGCTAGGCTAGCCAGGTGGTTACCTCGGGAGCCGTCCTGGTCATAAAGACAGAAACCACTATGGGAAGCTGTGGAGATTTGGGGGTGTGTGTCACATCTTGGTGAATACATCCCAGCTTTGGGGTCCGTGAAGTCTTTGGGTGGTCACTAATGAGTGACCAGGTGTGGCAGACTCGTCTCCTAAAGGAAGCCTCATGTCTGCAAAAGCCACGAGGACAGAGGCCACGTTGTTCCCCCATCCCTACCAGCCCGGGCCAAGGTCTACTGGACCTCGTGCCACGGAAGAGCCGCAGCAGAGGACCACGGGGCATCTCCGCCAGCGGCCTAGCCTGTCGGTTCTTCCTGCCACTCCAGCCTCCCCAGCTCCTGAGGCCGGTTGGGGGTACGGGAACATAGCACCCCATACCACTGGCCGTGATGCCTGGAGAGACAGCTTAAAAGAGGCCTTGGCTGGGCCCGGTGAATGAGCTCAACTTCCACTCTGCTCTTTGACCTGAGCGATTCTCTGCCATGGCCGTGGGCTCCAGGAAAGACGGGGTCCACAGTGAACATGTGGGGTGCAGGTACACCGCCCACACTGGCTGCAAACAGCCAAAAACTCAGGGATACCTTGCTCCTGTTCTGTTTCAGTTAAGAAAGTGAGAAGAAGCCGGGCACTGGTGCTCACGCCTGTAATCCGAGCTACTCAGGAGGCTGAGATCTGAGGATCACAGTTCAAAGCCAGCCTGGGCAGGAAAGTCCATGAGACTCTTATCTCCAATGAAGAACTCGGAAAACTGGAAGTGGCGCTGTGGCTCAAGTGGTAGAGTGCCCACCTTGAGCTGAAGAGCTGAGGGACAGCGCCCAGTCCCAGAGTTCAAGTCCTACGACTGACCTTAAAAGAAAAAAAAAAGTGAGAAGAATTCTCCAGAACTCCTCCAAGGACAAAGGCTGAGCTCAAGGTCACCCTGGCCTCACTTGTGACCTGGGGCTATTGTAACTCTGCAGACCTCCCTTCTCCTCCCCCTCCCCCCCCCCCCCCCCCCCCCCAGTTTCTCCCTGTTTAACCTGAAGCCAATGCTGCACCCTGGAAGACTGAAGATGTCCTGAATCGCGTCTCCCCGTGCTGTGGAGTAAAGCCATCTCCGCTCTCTGTCCTCTGCCCTGCACCCTCTTTTTTATTTGACGTCTGGGGGTCAGTGGCTGGACCAGCCTTGGGACTCCTGGGCTTGGGGCCTCTCAGAACCTCGTTTCAATGAGGTGTCCCTGTGTCCTGGGGCTCCCGAGCCCCTCTCCACCTGATAATTCGCATCTTGCACTGGTGTTTTCCAGGTGTGGGCTTTGCAGACTCGTGCGCGTGGACCCAGCTCTGCTCACCCCGAGGTGCCGATGCAGGACCCGGGGAGCAAACTTCTGGGCTATTTTCAGGGATGCCAGGCGTGTTGGGAAGGGACTTGGCCAAGTTAGGAAGGAGCCAGGCATCTCCTTCTGCCCTCAGGCCTTGGCTCTGGCTTTGGACCTCGGCCTCCAGGCCGGGCGGGGCTTGCTTCTCCACTCTGGGCGGCTGGGTGTCCCGGGCTGACCGATCCCTCTCAAAGGACGCTGCTTTGTGGTGGTGATTTGCTCCCTCCCAACTGCCCTCTAAGGATTTGAACAAAGGAACTCATAAAAGCCATCTTTCTTTTTATTTTTCATTCCTGCCGTTCAACCAGTTTGTGCAAGCTGAGACTGAGTGGGCGGGGGGGGGGGGGGGGGGGGCGGCGGGGGAAGACAGAACTCCTGGAAGCAGACCCTTCTGGAAATAAGTCTATGCACACTGCTGAGGCTGGTTAGGTTTGAGAAGCCGTGTAACAATAAACTCTATAGAATTAGAAATATACCAAAGTGTCAAGGTGGCTGCTGGCTGGCTTCTTGTCTCCTCCTGGGGAGAGAGGGGGCTAACACCCATCCGTCCTGTGCAAAGGTCCTGGGGCTGATCTGGGGAGCTGCCAGATTCTTCCTTGAGCAGCTCCGCTCACCCCTTGCAGAAATGTGCCAGCGGACAGGTGCCCAGGTGTGTGCCTGGGGTGCCTTGGCCCCTTAGGTCCGTGACTCCTTGAGCAAGTCTCTGCTTCCGATCTCTATGTTCGCCCCTTGAAAGTATTCATGCAGGTGTAGGTTCCTGAAAATCTGTGGATCTCCTCCAATGCGGCCTGTGGGAGAATGCTGGGGGAGAGGGTAGGCAAAGATGGTCAGCAGGGTTGGGGTGGGGGGGCGGGCATACCCCAGCTCCTTCCATGTCACACAGTGGGGGGGGGGGGCTGTTGCCTGCTAACTGAGGTCTCTGGGGTGGGAGGGGCCAGACTCCTGGCTCGGGGAGGAAGCTGTCCCTGCTGGGCTGAGGAGACCATGGACGCTGCATGGGGGCGGCCATGTGTCCCAGCCCCCTTCACTGAGGGGCTGGGATGGCAACAGCTCACTGAGGAAGATCTGGAACATTCTATAGGAACCTGACGCTGGGAAAATTCTGGGGATAGGAGACTATTGGGAGGTGGTCTATGAAGTTCCGGTGAATTCTGAACCTTTGGCATCAAGACCCCTGGGCTCCTCGCTAAGACTAAACGTCCCGAGGGCTGGGAGCATTGCTAATTCTCCATCAGACAGTGGTGCTCCAAGTGTGGCCTGGGAGCCCCTGGGGGTGCCTGAGATCTCCAAAGGGGACTCTGAGGTCAGGTGACCTTTATAATAATAAAAAAGGAAGGCATCATGTGGCCTTATGGCTCCCACTGTCAGGAGTGCACAGTGGAGTTTTCCAGAGACTTTGGTGACATGGAATATCACAAGAGAATAAAATGAGAATCTAGGCTGCAATGTGGCTCAGTGGTAGAGCGCTTGCTTAGTGAGCATGAAGCCCTGCGTTCAATTCCACATAAACAGAAAAAACCGGAAGTGGTGCTATGGCTCAAGGGGTAGTGTGCTAGCCTTGAGCAAAAGAATCTCAGGGATAGTGCCCAGGCCCTGAGTTCAAGCCCCAGGACTGGCAAAAAAGAAAAAAAAAAACAACAACAACAGGAGAATCTAGTTGTGAAACGTCATCGCTCCTGAAGAGTTGTTATTTTTTGTAGAACATCTACCTACTTGTCACATGAACGTATTAATGGACCGGGCCCTGGCACATCCCTGTAACCCCTGCACTTGCCAAGGCTGAAATATCATGAGTTCAAGGTGAGCCTTGGCTACACAGCAAGATTGTATCTCAGGAAAAGAAAAACAAAAACAACTAAAAAAGAACTAACAAGAGGGGCTGGGAAGGTGGCTCAGTGGTAGAGCGTTTGCCTTGCATGCATGAGGCCCTGAGTTCGATTCCTCAGCACCACATACGCAGGGGAAAAAAAGCTGGAAGTGGTGCTGTGGCTCAAGTGGTAGAGCACTCGCCTTGAGCTGAAGAGCTGAAGGACAGCACCCAGGCCCAGAGTTCAGGCCCCACGACCGGCAAAAATAAATAAATAAACAAACAAGAACCCACCCCTCTCCCAACCCTCAAATAACCTATTTATTTTCTTTGTGTGTGTAAGTACTGGAGCTCCCACTGTCCTTTAGCTTTCTTTACTCAAGAATGGCACTGTACCATTTGAAGCACACTCCACTTCCAGCTTTTTTTTTTTTTTGCAGATTAATTGGGAGTCTCATGGACTTTAGGCCTGGACTGGTTTCAAATCTCAACCTTCTGAGTAGCTAGTATTACAAGTGTGAGTCATCAGTGCTTGTCCACATTTATATTAATTTAACAGAACACATACTGTATCCATTCTTTTTCTGTTTTAATTTCTATCCCAGTGAACAGTGGTTCCTCAATGATTTCTAGACTTACAGGTTTCTGAGACCAAGTTGGAGAACCACTGTCCTATGCTCAAGATAGCATCCTCTCATTCCCCTGCCCATGGCAGACATGACTAATCGAGCCCAGATGCACATTTCCAGCTGGATACCTCTTCCCCACCAGGGACCACCAGGGGAAGGGGTAAGGTTTGGCGGGAGCCCAGCCTAGAGGCTCCTCCCACAGCCTCATACCTTTTCAAGATAATGAGGATATTCATTGTCCACGGGAGCAAGAGGAGGGCCTGATTTAGCTGCACAGCTTCCACTGTCCTCCGGGCCACGGTCTCCGGCTTCAACGGGGGAAAGAGGTTGGGAAACCTGAGGGCAGGCAGACACAGGAGGTCTCCCTTGTAGAGGCCTGCACTCCTGCCAGGGGCCTCGGTGTGGCCTCCACGTCTGGGCCTCTCTGTCCTCTGCTGGGTGAGGGCCTCGAAGCTGTGGAATTCTCTCTCTCATCCCAGACCTCCCGGAATTCCCAAGGCATGCGAGTGGGGGCCTCCCAGCTTGCAGGGGGTCCCCAAAAAAATCAAGGAGCTCATCCTCCTCTGCACCAGTTCCAGAGTCCTCCAGGTGCTCCTGGAGCTCTGCAGTCCAGGCCCCGCCCTGCCTCACACTCTGACCTCCTCTTCCCTTCCTTCTGCTCCAGCAGCACCACTCAACCCTTCTCTGCTACGGCCTCCTACCACTGTCCCAACAGACTGGCTCACTCCCGGCTCCTCCAATCCCATTCAACCTTGAGCAGCCTCTGGTCTATGGAGAGCCAGATGACAGCTATGGGCTTTAACTCTATCATGTTTAAAACGCCCGCCCCCTTTTGTATGCTTGCTAGTACTGGGGCTTGAACTTAGGACTTAGGCACTGTCTAGCATTTTTGCTCAAGACCAGTGCTCTACCACTTGAACCCAGTGCCATTTCTTCCCCCCACCCCTCTTTCTTTTGGTGGTTAATTGGAGATAAGAGTCTCACAGAATTTGCTGCCCAGGCTGGCTTTTAACTGTGATCCTCAGGTCTCAGACTTCTGAGTAGCTAGAATTACAAGGTGTGAGCCACCAGTGCCTGGCTGGTTGTGTCTTTATTAATGGCTGGTATCCTCCATCAGACTGTGAATCCCACGGGGGCAGAGGCCTGGTTCCAGCAGTATCCAGCACTTAGCAAAACAAATAACTTGCTAATGTGAACACCAAGCAACTTCTCTCAGCATGTCTTGTTCTTGTCTGGAGGCAAGTGCTCTGCTGGAGATACCTGCCTGGCATTCATTCATTCATTCACTGATTTATTGATCATTCAAACATGTGTAGCATTCATCCTAAGGGATTTCCAAATGAATGAATGAATGAATGAATGAATGATTGAATAACAGACATCAGGGAGGTTGTCATGCCTACGCAGAAGCCTCTGATCCTAGAGCCATACCTTAATGATGCACTCTAAGATGCACTCTAAAGACCAGGCCTGGGACCTAGGGTGAACTAGGCTTGTACAGGGTCCAGGCTTTGTTTTTCCTGTCTTCCTGGGCTTAAGGCACTGCTGGCTCTGACCTCTGCCCCACAAAGAGCTCACATCTCCCTGTGGCACCAGGAAGATTAAGGGCGTTGAGTACTTGGGTCTGCTGAGCAACAGGCAGGTTCCAGGATCCAAGGCGCCCTCCCTGCGCTTTCTCCTGTTACAGTGTCAACGGCACGTTCTAAAATGCCAGCTTGGGGGGCTGGGAAGGTGGCTCAGTGGTAGAGCACTTGCCTTGCATGCCTGAGGCCCTGGGTTCGATTCCTCAGCACCACATAAGCAAAAAGAAAAAAGCCGGAAGTGGCGCTGTGGCTCAAGTGGTAGAGTGCTAGCCTTGAGCTGAAGAGCTGAGGGACAGCGCCCAGGCCCAGAGTTCAGGCCCCATGACCAGACCCAAAAAAAACAAAAAAAAACAAAAATAAAATAAAATAAAATGCCAGCTTGGCATTCTAGAAGGGGCAGACTCCACGGAGGCTGGTCTGGACTCCTCAGCCTCCGCCTGCAGCCAGCCCTGCCTCTGGGAGGGGTGAGGACAGAGTGGACAGACTCCGCTCTGGGGGGAATCTTCCTGGTGAGACCCCTGCTGGACCGGCGGAGCAATCTCAAGCATCTGCTGGTGGGATTTTTTTCCCTCTATGGTGGACAGGATGGGAAGCAGGCCCACAGGGAATGGGCCCAGCTATGAACTCTGGTGAGCACAGCACGGTAAAAAGCCTGCTCAACTGTGTGGCCTTGGCCCATTACTGCTCCCTGAGCCTCTGTTTCTGGATCAGGAAATCAGGGCTCAGAGCTCAGCCAGGGCAGCCCAAGGCCCCAGTGCAGTGTGGTGTGGCTGGAATACAATATACCAATAAATAGGACTGACAAACACTAGTGCCACCAACAAAATAGGAATCCCCTTGGATAAATGAGGAGAGCGAGACACAGAAAAGTCAAGTCACTTGCCCAAAGTCACACAGAACTGGGATTCTACCTCAGACCATTTGTGCTCATATGCCGAACCAGTAAGGAAAAATGACTTGGGGGAGGGGGCGCTTGAATTGCTGCTGAGGCCGGGTCTTACTGTGTTGCCCAGGATGGCTTCTAAATTGTGATCCTCCTGCCTCAGCCTCCTGAGTGCTGGGATTACATTTTTCAAGTAGAGAGGAAAAATGGCAGAAGGAGAAGCAGACATGCTCATATAGACGCGAAGGCTGCAGATGCATCCCTCCTCCCCATTCCTAGAGCACCCAGTTAAATTATAGTTTGCCCCCAGACCGCCAACATGCATTTACTGGACACCCCTTATATACAAAGAGAAGAAACTGAGTTCTCAAGGGGAAAAACAAATTCTCTCATGGGTCATTAAGTTACGAATATAGCGTCTTCTAAATAACGGAACGTGCGATGATGTGTTTGCAAACTCTTGGAGAGCTGATCTACTAGAAAAGCTAGCAGCAGGCATGTTGATGAAGCATTTCCTTCCTTCCTTCCTTCCTTCCTTCCTTCCTTCCCCTCCCTCTCTTTCTCTCTTTCATTTTTTTTGGCAGTCCTGGAGTTTGCACTCAGGGCCTTGTGCTTGCTAGGTAGATATTCTACTGCTGACTCACCCCTTGACTCCTCACCTCCCTGGACCCTGTTTTGGGGTGCTGCTTATTTTTGAGTTAGGGTCTCACTTCCTGCTCAGGTATGTACCTGGACTACGATCCTCCTATTTTCACTCCCTAGCCCGTAGCTGGGATGTACACTACCCTAGGCTTTTCTTGCTCAGAGTGGCCTGGAATTACAGTCTTCTCAAACTCAGCCTCTTACAAAGATAGGAATGACAGGTATGTGCCACTCTACCCAGCTATGGGTTGAAATGAAGTCTTGTGGACTTTTTTTTTTTGGGGGGGGGGGGGGATCCTGGGGCTGGCCTCAAACCACAGGCATCCTATTCTCAGTCTCCCAAGTAGCTAGAATTACTAGTGTAAACCACCAGTGCCCGGCTGAAGGTATCTATTGTTAGTAAAAAACATAACTGGCCCAGCAGCTCTTTACTGAGCAGCTACTACTATATGCTGGGCTTTGCCCTAGGGGTTTTACATGGATGGCTTCTAATTTGCCCAGTGATCCTATGAAGCAAATATTATTTCCATCATTTTACAGACAAGCAAGAAATAAAATGAAATGAAATGCTTTGAGGCAACCGAACAAGCCCAAAGTTCCACAGCTGCAGAATAGCTGAGGTGTGACTCAAAACCAGGCATTTCCATTTCGTGATGAGCCAAACTTCACTGCCCCTGTCACTAGCCACTAAGACATGCGGAGTGATTCCTACGTGGCTTCACAAGCATCTCCTCCCTCTCTCACGGTGGCCTGCCACGCTGTCTTCATGTCACTTGCTTAATTCTTTTGGATGCTAAGGATGACACCCAGGGCTTTGGGCCTGCTGGGCCAGGGCTTCTCTACTGAGCCGCACCCACAAGTCCCAAGCCTCGCTTCTGGAAGACGCTGAAGCGTGTCATCAGAAGGTAGACCGTTGGAAGCTGGATGGTGGTAACACACACGGGGTTGGGTGTGATCCCTGGTTTTTGTTATCGGGTAATCTGATGTCCCTAAACAATGGTCCATTTGCTGAGTTCTTGGTATGCAGCAAGATGGCTATGAAGCTAAGGCAGCAACCCATCAGACCTGATGTCACCCAGTGACGGGGAGCCTGGTTCCCAAGCACACGCTCCCTTGCTGGCCTTGGTCTGCAGGGGCTGGGGGGAGGGACAGCTGGGCCTCTCCAGTCCCTTTACATCCGCCTATGACGAATATACAATCAAACGCACGCCACTTGATTAATGCAAACCAGGAGTGGGGGTGGGGGGGATTTTCTAAAAGCCCACAAAGCGCAGGGCACTGGTGGCTCCGGCCCATAACCCTAGCTATTCAGAAGGCTGTGATCTGAGGACATGGTTCAAAGCCAGCCTGGGCAAGAAACTCTGTGAGACTCTTGTTTCCAATAAACCACCAAAGGGTCAGAAGTGGAGCTGTGGCTCAATTGGTAGAATGCTAGCCTTGAGCAAAAAAAAAAAAGCTCAGGGACAGTGCACAGGCTGTGATTCAAGCCTCAGGACAGATGGACAGCCAGACAGACAGAGACACATACATCCTCCCCCCCCCCCAAAGCCCAGAAAGTTCCCTGGGGTTCCCTTCTTTACCTCTATCCCTTTCCCTCAGGGCTATCCCCCTGGTCTGTTCCTAGAAGCATAGGCCAGTCTTGCACCTTCTAGAATTCCACACACATGGAATCAGGCAAAGGGTCCTGTTGCTTTCACTCACCGCCATGCTTCTGAGTCACCAGGCAGCTCATGTTTACTACTCTGTTTTCTTTGTGTCTCCATGTAGCATTCCACTGCACGCGCTCAGCCCCGGGGCTCTGGACAAGCTCTGAGAATCAGGACCCTACGCTGCTGGAGTATCCCAGCGCCCTGCAGATGGAGGAGCAGCTCCCAGAGCCCGAGGCCGAGGCCGAGGCATGCAGTGGACTGGGTGGACAGGCTCGGGGGAGGTGGCTGACCTGACCCTCATGCCCTGGAACATCTCGGTGCTGGTGTGGAAGGGCAGCACGGTGGTGGCGTTGACGCCCGGACAGTCCAGCAGCCCCAGGGTCAGGCTCTCCATGAAGGCAAAGGCCGAGGCCTTCGATGTGCAGTAGTCGATGGCGCCGGGGATGGCAGACAGCGCCAGCACAGAATTGAGGCACACGATGTGGCCGTTCTGCAGCTCCAGCATGCGTGGCAGGAAGGCCTTGGTGGTCTGGCGGGGGACACGGGGGGGGGGGGGGGGGGCGGGGACGGGGTCAGCACGGAGCAGAGGCAGATTCTGAATCCCTCCATCCCAGCTGACCCACAGCTCCACCCGGGACCGAGCTCTCCTGTGGGGGGTTGGGCGGGGAGCAGCCAAGGGCTGGACATGGAGATCAGAAAGGCCAATGGTTCTCTGAGCTCAGGCCGGTCATTCTGGCCTGGACCCCAGTGTCCTGGCCCCATTCCCCCTCTGCCCCCCCAGATCCCATCATGCTCTGGGCCTTACCCAAAACTGGCCCAGAGTGTTGATGTGCTGGGACTTGAGGAGGGCGTCGTCGTCGCTGTCCATCAGGCTCTTCCCGTGGACCACGGCGGCGTTGTTCACCAGGATGGTGATGTCTCCCACCTGTGGGCAGGACCGGGCCCAGGGCCACGACGGCGGTCAGCCTCGGTGGCTGCCACCAGGACAGACCCGACTCCACAGCGGGCCGTCACGTGGCCTTAGGAAGCTGCGTGGCTCCTCTGAGCCTCACCCTGGGATTATCAGTGGCATTAGTGACAGCCACCGGTGCCCGAGGACTAGACATCATCACGGTGCCTGTATGCCTGGAGCGTGGCATATGTAGAGTAACTGAGGTGATGATCATGAATCAAGACACTTTAACCCGGGACTCACGGTCAGAAGCTGAGATTTTAAAGATCATAGTTTGCAGCCAGGCCAGGCAGGAAAGTCCCAGAAAGTGGGACGTGGAGCTGTGGCTCAAGGTGTAGAGGGCCAGCCCTGAGCAAAAAAAGCTCAGGGACAGTGCTCAGGTCCTAATTCAAGCCCCAGGACCCAGGTGCACATGTACACATACACATATACACACACATGTACAATTACATGTGAGCAATAGCCATGCACACATGCATGCGTGTACACAAATGCACACAGATTTGAACCAAGTGTATTTTCCTCTCTGGGAGTTCACAGGTACTCTCAGCCCACATAGATGACTGGACTCAGGATAAGGATTTTCCCAGAAGGCAGTGGGACATTTGCCCCAGGGTCTAAACTTCCAAGGGGTAGAGGTAGAGGTAGAGGTGTGGCTCCTGTGGTAGAGCACTTGCCTAGCAGGTACAAGAGCTCTCCCAAATAAAAAATGGTTCAATGTCATCGTTCATTGTTTCCAAGGGGACCACAAAGATGATTATTAATTATGATTATTATTATATTCCTGTTGCAAAGTCATCTCCGTTCCCCACCTAAGTAACTTGAACCTGTTTCATGGGGAATGTTCCAGAAGGTTCCCTGGACCAGCTGGTCTGCCCTAAGCTTCGGGTCTATGAGCATTTCCCCTTGCCAGTGACCCCCCGAGCGCAGAGGACGGGCATCCCAGCACCTACCTTCTCCCGGACAGCCTTGGCCGTCTGGTACACCTCCTCTCGGTTGCCCACATCACAGATGAAGTAGTGGCACTCGGTGCCCATCTGCCGAACCTCCTCCGTCGTCTCCCTCAGACACTTCTCTGTCCGGCCCCAGAGAACAATCTAGGAGAGAATAATAACCCATAACCAGAGGTGAAGAAGCCAGCCAGAGAGATGCAAATTTGCTACCAGAAATGCAGTCATTTAACACACGAACGCAAATGAACCCGGGAGCTCGTGAAGGGACAGCGCCTGCTGCTCTCGCGGGAAGCAGTAGCATAGTGGAGCTTGTTCTGTAAGACGTTCCAGAATGTTCTCTGTTAGGAAGGAGCCCACCTCCTCGACCAGCGAGGTCTGGAGCTGAGATTCTTCACCTCAGTTGTCAGGAAGGGTGGAAGGGAGGATGGAAGAAGGAACTAGAAGGACCCGCACCCACACTGGACAGGTAATCACAGGAAGTGACTGGTGGGCACCAAAGGGTGAGCAAATTTATGAATGGACAGCCCATGAACGCTGGAAAGGGAAGCCCCGTCCTTCTAAAGGAGGACACGCTTGGCCCCACAGGAGTTAAGGAGGTCAACAGCCCTAGGTACAGAGACAGAAAAGTGGGTGCTGGAAGTTGTTGGGGTTTACCCCAACGAAAACAAAACGAGCCTGGTGCAGTGTGGCTCTCGCTTCTCATTCTAGCTACTCTGGAGGCTGAGATCTGGAGGATTGAGGTTTGAGGCTAGCTCTGGCAGAACAGTCTCTGAGACGGCCATCTCCAACTAACCAGCTAAAAGATGAGCTAGAGTTGTGGCTCAAGTGGTAGAAGGCCAACTAAGTAAGTCATCCAGTGCAAGGCCCTGAGTTCAATGTCTGGTACTGGCAAAAATAAATAAATAAATAAAATAAAGGGCAAAACCAAAAATAATGGTTACTTTAGGAAGGGAAGGGAAGTTTCCAAACTGCAGGCTTACACGTGGTAGCCCTGGTTACATGCAAGTAGACTCTCCTTGGTTCTTTTCACGGTAGAGCAAAAACTCACCTAGACGACCAGATGACAGGGTGTGAATGATCAGTTTCTCTTTGTTTGAAATCTCAGAAGTTCATTCAGACAACTCAGAGGGAGGATTCTGGTGGCCTCTGATCAACTGAAGGGGTTCTCTCTCTTTTTGTTGATACTGGCTTTGAACTCAGGCGTTCATGCTTGCTCAGCAGGTGCTATCAACTTGAGTCATGCCCCTGCGTCTTTTTGTGTGTGATAAGGCCTCACTTTCTGGACTGTAATCCTCCTATTTTAGGATGACAGTCAGCCTGCCAACCACACTCAGCTACCCACTGAGAAGGGGTCTGGTAAACTGTTCTGTCTAGTCTGCTCTCAGACTGTGACCCTTCCGATCTCAGCTTTCCAAACATCTAGGATTTTAGGCATGAGCCTCTGGCACTTGGCTTGGATTTGAGGTTTTTAAATTTGTTTTGTTTTTTTAACTTTAAAAGTTTTTTTTTTTTTTTTAAAGAAAGAAAATCAGAATGTTCTCTTGATCCCTAAAACTGGTCTGAGAGCCTCCACTCTGTCTGCCTGAAACCCAGGAAAGGTTTCTACAAAGGAGGGTCTTACCCTTGTCCCATGACCACAAACATCCATCCAGGGCAGAAAGACTGCAATCAGACAGGCTCGAGGCACTCTTGATGGTTGGGCTAAACCATCTAGATGGGTTTGTCCAGCACAGGCTGGGGGTGGGGGGTGCCGTGGGGGGCTCAGTTAATGAAGAATAAAAATCATCCAGGAATGAAATTTGGTGTAAGTACCCTAAACTGTCACTGACATATTTCATTTTATTGTCCCATATTACTCCATCTACTCAGTCACCCATCCATCTATCCATCCATCCACCCACCCTCCCACCCACCCACCCACCCATCCATCCACCCATCCATCCATCCATCCATTTACCATCCTTTATTGCACCCATTTCTGAGCAAGTCAGCCTGAGATACAGGGAATCCTAGCTTCCTTTTCCTGCTCTGGTCACCTGTGGCTCAGTGGGCAATGGGGGGAGGAGCTTGCCTACTTCCCTGAGTGTGGTTAAGGCAGATCTTTGGGGATCTTAAGAACTGTGGTTGCCGGGTGCCGGTGGCTCACGCCTGTAATCCTCACTACTCAGGAGGCTGAGATCTGAGGATCGCAGTTCAAAGCCAGCCTGGGCAATAAAGTCCGTAAAACTCTCATCTCCAATAAACCACAAGAAAACTGGAAGTGGCGCTGTGGCTCAAGTGGTAGAGTGCTAGCCTTGAAGAGCTGAGGGACAGCGCCCGGGCCTAGAGTTCAGGCCCCACAACTGACAAAAAATAAATAAAAGAACTTGCGGTCGTCAGCAGAGAGAAGCTGAGACTGAGGAGTGTTTCTGGAAGGTCAGGCACAGCTGGCCAGGACAAGTGGCGGCCTCTTGGGGTCCCGATGGCTCCCGTCACAGTGGGAGCAGGGAGGCACTGGGTTCCACTGGAAGGGAACTGGGGGCTCTGTGGTCCCAGATGAAAGAACTCTTGCTGGTTCTTGGGGGTATAGAGAACCGGGGCCTCATGGAACCCGGGGTCTGTCCCGAAAGCCTGCAGTCAGGAAGTTGGCAGGGTTAGAGCGCCACGGGGCGGGGCTGTGCCAGAGGAAACGGAGGCGGAGGCCCATTCTCTCCCTTGTGAACAGGCGGGACTTCAGCGCCTGAAGCTCGGGTGCTCTCTGAGGACCTGTTGAGGCCGTCCCTTGTGGGCTGGCTCCACCTCTCCCTGGTGCCATCCCAGCCTTTCTGCCCCCCCTCCAACCCCCCCCCCCGGGCTGGGAGGCCCCTGGGGGCCTGGTAGTGTCACAGTCCTTCCTGCGGGGTCTGTGTAGGCCAGAGGTGGGGTACAGGGCGCAGGGGTGCCGCAGAGCCTCTTCCTGACCTGGCTATGGGGAGGCTGGCACAGTGGCTGGAGCTCTGCCAGGGGACAGGGCCTCAGCCTCAGGCAAAAGGGAGTCCCGGCTGGTGCTCGCAGGCCTGGCTGTGGCTATGTGTCTGCAAGACTCTGTATATCTGGGGTTTTTTCTTTTTGGTGCTGGTACTGGGTCTTGAACTCAGGGCCTGGGGACTGTCCCTCAGCACTTCAGGTAAGCGCTCTACCACTTGAGCCACAGCATCACTTCCAGTTTTCTGGTGGTTTGTTGGAGATAAGAGTCTCATGGACTTTCCAGCCTGGGCTGGCTTTGAACCACGATCCTCAGATCTCGGCCTCCTGAGTAGCTGACAGGCGTGAGCCACCGGTGCCAGGCCCTCCTTCTGATTTTTTAGAGGTTCACTGGAGATAAGAATCTCATAGACTTCCCTACCCAGGTTGGTGTGGTATGTGATGCTCTGATGTCAGTTTCCTGAATAGCCAAGGTGACAGGTGTGAGCCACTGGCACCCAGTTTGTGTGTCTTATTTCCATGTGAGTCTGGGTGTGCATGTCTGCATGTCTGGTGTGCTGTGTTTCTTGGGTCCTAGAACATGGGCCTGGAACCCTTGTGGGATGGGCTGTTTCCATGGTGATGGATGGCCAGGGCACAGGAGTGGAGGGCCCGGGGCTCTGCTGGAGGAGTGGCTCCGCCCACTCCCCCTCCCTCCCTGGGAATCAGAGCCCCTTGCGGAGATGCTGACAGGTTAAGGGCCTTGCCCAGTGCCAGAGAGGGTAAGGGGGGGGCATGTAGGGGTGTGGGGCAGTCCAAGGAGCCAGCTGGGCCTCTCTTAACTCACTCCTGTGACAGGGAGCGGCTAGGAGGGCCAGAACCCCAGGATTGACTCCTAAACTGGGTTTATAAAATCAGGAGCTTGGTGGCTGGATGCCTCCTGACCTGCCGCCCTCCTCTGGGGCAAAGGTCAGCCCCTGCCCTTTCCCCTCCGGTGACAGTCCCAGGGGGAGGGGTCCTGTCATTCAGGCCTGGTTCTCCAGGTCTGTGGACGGGGAATAATGTCCCACGCAAAAAGTGTTGTACAGGCTGGAAGCAGCAAAAGCTTCCCCGCAGCTCTTGCTGTCAGCGGATTAGGTAAGCAGCTCAGCTGGGCAGGGCTGCCCCTGGGTGACGCCCTGCAGGGTTCTTATTCTCTATAAGGTGGACTGCCTGTTCACACTTCTCTGTGCGAAACACCAAGGTGATCGGCTGACTTCTAGGCATCCTGCAGAACCCTATGGAAATGTCCCCACCCTCCTGAACCTTCCTAGGTGTCTCCTTCCATCTTCTCTCCCTGAGAGTGCACAGCAGCAAACATCTGTCACAAGGCACAGATGTGTTTTCTCCTTCCACAGTTAAGACGTGTGTGCGTGTGTGTGTGCGCGCGTGTGTGTGTGCATGTGTGTGTGTGTGATTGACATGTGTGTGCGTGCGTGTGCGCGCGCGCACGCGTGTGTGTGCGTGTGTGTGCGCGTGCATGTGTGAGTGTGTGTGAGTGCGTGTGTGTGTGTGCGTGCGCGTGCGTGTGTGCGTGCATGCGTGTGTGTGCGTGTGCGTGAGTGTGTGTGTGTGTGAGTGCGTGCGTGCATGTGTGTGCGTGCATGTGTGAGTGTGAGAGTGTGTGTGCGTGTGTGTGCGTGTGTGAGTGTGTGTGTGCGCGTGTGCGCGTGTGTGTGTGCACGCGTGCGTGTGTGTGTGCGCGTGTGTGCACGTGTGTGTGCGCGTGCGTGCGTGTGCGCGTGTGCGTGCGTGTGTGTGTGTGTGTGTGTGTGTGGGATTGAGGGGCACAGATAAGGCGAGGTGTCCGGTGAATCTCACCCCTACTGCCAACCTGACACCTAGTGTGTGCCCGTCAGTGCCAGCTGTCCCCGCCCCTTCCTGGTGAGCCCTGACATCTTCTGGGAAATCTCAGTGATCTCTCACATCCAACGTGGGCCAGGCACAGAGGAAAAGCACAATGAATGTCTCTGTCACATGTCACTGGGCTCCAGAGGCTTCTAGCAAATCTGTGTGAGGGACATGGGTGCTCCAGCCTTGCTTTCCTCGCCGCCATGTCTGGACTATGGAGCTGAGCTGGGGGTCTGGGGCGGCCCCCCGGCAGGTCTAGGGCAGGCCAGCTCGTGGCCCAGGGCCTTGATTGTGCAGAAGGAAGGGGTTCCCCACCGGGGACCCAAAAGCAT